ATTGTACGTAGGGTCGCTATGAGTCGGTACCTACTTGATGGCACCTAACAACAATGGAGCTCTGGTAGCATAGTGGTTATGACCTTGAGGTCAACAATTCGAAACTATCAGCCACTCCGCGGGAGAAGGATGAGGCTTTATGCTCCTGTAAAGATTTACAGCCTCGGAAACCCTGTACAGGGTCCCTATGGATCGTAACCGACTCAATGGCACTTAACAACAACAACAAACAACATTTTAGGTAGATAATGTCTAAGTTCCCAGTCCTTATTAACCCTGTGTACATAGGGGATAAGTTGGAGACTCCTTCCCTCTCAGTTGGTATTTTGAGCTCCTACATTCGTAAGTATAGGTCAAGTTCATCACATTGTAGTAATTTGCACTTGTTTCCTTATCCAAAAAAAAATTTTTTTTTTATCATCTTCTAGTTGAGTTCTGATCATTAAGTCATTGAAGCTAGATCGATGGGTATTATCTACAAGTTTGGGTGTTGTTGTGTGTCTCCCCTCACTTCATATCAGCTGGACGCTTCACTCTCAGCTCTAACCCTTCATTGAAAACAATGGAATTAAAAGATAATGAAAAATTTCTACTAATTTTTGAAGCTCCCTCGTATCCTTGTTCATGGATTCAGGAGTCCCCAGGTCTCACCACACTTCAGAATACCATATTTATTTTTATCTTATATTTGTGAGGACCTTGATGGCATTCGTTTAATTTGTGTAATAGATTTTAAATTATATAAATAATTTTGAATTGGTTTAAATTTGTAGGTTTAGATAAGCAATCTTATCCAGAATTATGTTTTCAACATTTTGCATGTTTTATAAGAACTCCTAGAAGTGATTCTGTGTGCCCGTGGTTAAGAGCCATTATTTAGATAAAAAGGAATAATAATATGTTTCGTAGTCTTGGAGTGACCCTGTAGCATATGCACAGGGCTGCTAACCACAAGTTTGGCAGTTCAGACCCACCAGCTGCTTCTCAAAACCCCTATACAGAGCTGCTGTAAACTGACTTTTAATTACAGTGATACTAATTGTACTCACCATAAAATCGAATGCAAATGGTTAACGCACTCAGGTGTTAGCTGAAAGGTTGAAGGTTTGAGGTACCCAGAGGCACCTTGGAAGAAAGACCTGATCTACTTACAAAAAAATAGCCATTAAAACCCAATGGAGCAGAGTTCTACACTGACACACATGGTGTCACCATGAATGAGAGTCAACAGAAACTGGTGGTAATATAAGATAAGAAATGTTGCTTTAGGTATTGAGAGCCCTTCCTGTGCCCCTTTATCCATCACTGATTAGAAAAATATTACGATTTTGTGCTTTTTGCAAACCTGTAATGATACAGACTCCTGGTGTGGCACTGTAGGATAAGCATGGATTGGATCATTTGCCGATTCAGACCCACCAGCTGCTCCTTAGAAGATTATGTGCTATAGAGTCACTTCTGACTCATAGCGACCCCGTACTGGGTTTCCGAGGCTGTACATCTTTTATGGGAGCAGAACGCCTCATATTTATTTCTCCTGTGGAACAGTGAGATTCAGACCCACCAGCTGTTCCATGGAAACCCTATATAAGGTCGCAGTGAGTCAGAATTGACTGACTGGCACTTTTAACCACAGTGATACTTCTTGTTGTTATATGCTGTGGAGTCGGTTCCAACTCATAGCAACCCTGTACAGGGTTTCTGAGGCTGTAAATCTTTATGGGAGCAGAAAGTCTCATCTTTGTCCCACGGAACGGCTGATAGTTTCGAACTTCTGACCTTGTGGTTCGCAGCCCGATTTGTAACCACTACGCTACCAGAGCTCCTTACAGTGATACTTAGGACAAAATAAAAGTAGGTTTGTGATACACTTATGCCAGAGAAATAAAAGTTTATAAATAAGATTGGAATAAAAATTAAACTAGGCTGTCAATACTTCCTATACTTAAGAGATTCTCGCCTGAGGATGGGGTACACCTTAGAATCATCTATGAAATTGCTTGCTATTCCAGAGAGACTGAATCAGAATTTCTTCAAGGTTTAGATTCCTGTGAAAACTTAGTTCTTTTTTCAAAAAGATGTTTACTTTGGTTAAGGACCCATTGTCTAATTAAATTGAAAATTCTTCGTTCTGTGTTTTTTTCTGTTTCAGTTTTTCACTATTAGGGAAATCTTTTGTATATTACTCATGAAAATTACATTACTACTTATGGGAGGGTCAGTTGATAGAAAGTGGGGATGGGGAAAGTAAAGGGACTAATAATGATCATGGAGTAGTTACATAGCTTTATTATATAATCAATACTTTATTGTAATCTTACAAATACACATATTTATAAAAACCTCATTTGGACCTACCCCACAGGCCAAATAAAATGAACAAACTACACATAAAAATTTAACATCTCTTACTCTTAGCTTATCCTTTTGTGCTAATACTGAAAATGATCTTTCCTACCTAGTCATATCTTCTATCATTTCCCAAAAGGAACATTATTTCTTTTAGTTCCAAAAGGGATCATTCTGACTATTGCTACTTCTAGCAAAATTTATTTACTGAATTCCATATTGGTATTTAAGTTGAATATGACTTTTAAATATTTTTTAAAAAACAAAATGTGTATTTGCATTACTGAATGCTAGTAATATTTTAAAGGAAATGAACTTTAATAGTTAACTCGAATATGTTTTCTTATAGCAGAAAAAGAAAACTAAGACTTTCAATCCACCAACACGTAGAAATTGGGAAAGTAATTATTTTGGAATGCCTCTCCAGGATCTGGTTACAGTTGAGAAGCCCATACCTCTATTTGTTGAAAAATGTGTGGAATTTATTGAAGATACAGGTAGGATGGAATGATCACTAGATTTTATTTAAAATTTCGCTTTTAACTTTTGTTCCATTATTTCAATTGTTTGTCATATGTTAAAATTAACATTTGAAAGAGGTTTATAATTCTGATTGCTATATTAAATATGTGGATTCCTAGTATGGCGATGTGGGTTAATGCACTGGACTGCAAAGTCTGTTTGGACTGCAAGGTCGGCGGTTCAAGCTCACCAGCCGATCCTTAGGAACCCTATACAGAGTCGCTATATGTCGGACTTGATTCGAGGGCACTTATCAACATATCTAATATGTAGTATTAACTTTAACTTCAGTATTGTATAGAATTAGGCACTTTACACAAGAATTTTTCTTTTAAACTTCATAGTGATAATTACAGATGTATAAAAGTTATCTTACTGTATTTTCATTGTTACTATTTATTCAACACTAGCTTGATATTTATGTGTGTTCTTTGAGTTGTATTTTTAAGGACTGTATAGATAACCTTGCTATTTTAAAAACAAGTGTGTGCTTATGTTTACTTTGTCCAATATAAACTAAATCTGAGGAGTGCTGTGGTCCAGACAAAGGTGAAGAAGAATAGAGGCAGGTTATCATGTTAAAAGAGTATATTTTAAATGAACAACAGTTAACAATGAGGTCTTAATGATTAAATGGACTACAAAATCTAATGGAAGCATAAGCTATTTCAGTATGGGCTTAATTTGTTCTTACTGATCTCTTTGTTTATACAAGTTTATTTTATTTATTTGTTTAAGAGGACACTATTGTTGTTAAGTGCCATCAGTTCCAATTTGTAGTGACCCTGTCTATGGTTTCCAAGGAGCTGTTGGTGGATTTGAACTGCTGACCTTGTGGTTTGCAGTTCACAGTCCAGTGCTGATTCTACGGTGTCACACCAAGATAATGAATGATTATTTCTTGCAGTTTTTAAGTGCTGTTGAATTGGTTCTGACTCATAGCAACCCTGTATAGGGTTTTCAAGGAGCCGGTGGTGAATTTGAACCACTGACGTTGGAGTTCAAACCAACTTTGCAGTCCAGTGCATTAACCCACAGTACCACACCAGAATTGTTTATTGTTGTTGTTGTTATTATGTGCCGTGGAGTTGGTTCCAACTCATAGTGACCATGTACAAGGTTTCCAAAGCTGTAAGTCTTTACCGGAGCAGAAAGCTTCATTTTTCTCCCGTGGAACAGCTGGTAGTTTCAAACTGCTGACCGTGAGATTAGCAGCCCAATTCATAACCACTATGCTACCAGAGTTCCTTGAATTGTTTAATAGATAGTGACAAATACAGTCTGTATTTGTATCTGCCCTTAATCTTTTTGTTTTTCTTCAAATATTTTTAAAGTATGTATTAGGCAAATTTCTTTCCATCTTTACCATATCTAGAAATACAAAGATTCTTAGAATATTAACTTCCTGCTTTTGGGTTTAAAGAATTCTCATTTTCTCTAGTAATATGATCAGGCTTTAGAGAGATGACTGAGAAATTAGATATTCTTTAATGATTGGAAAATAACAATAACAGCATTTGTACAATTTTATAATAAAAAATTGATACTTTTAAAATACTTTCTACAAGTTGTTAGAGTGATGTAGCTATAGGAAAATGATTAAATTCCATGTGTAAGATGAAAAGATGGTAGTCCAGTTCTTAATGAAACTCGAATTAGTTAAGTCAACTGGTAGGTAGTTATGATAGAAGTATACTGAGGTACTGTGAGACCACCACTAGAATAGTTACGTAAGATTAAAACTAGTTATATTAATACTATTTTTATTTTATTACTAATTGCTGTTGAGCTGTTTCAGCAGAGATTCGGCGGAGTTCCTTGAGAGTTCACTTTAGAATTCTCAATATGGACTATACCATAACCTTCTTTTTACTTAATACTCAACTTTTAGTAATATAAATATGGAAGATTACCTGTTATTTCTTTTAGACGATGAGTGCAACACCATTCCTTTTCAATTTCTCTGCATAGTAAGCTATGTGGTTGTCAGATTCAAAATGGCCAATACCAGTCCATTTCAGCTCACTAATGCCTTAGATATCCATGTTGATGCGTTCCATTTCATTTTTGACAACTTCCAATTTTCCCAGATTCATGCTTCTCACATTCCACATTCCGATTTTCAATGGATGTTTACAGCTGTTTCTCTTCATCTTGAGTTGTGGCCCATCAGCAAGTGAAGGTTCTGTGCGCTTTTCTCCCCCGAGCTTAACTCTATTCACATCATCGTAGTCAACTCTACTTTGAGGAGGCATTTTTTTCCCCAGTTGCATTCTGAGTGCCTTCCCACCTTCCAGTCCTGTATCTGACAATGTTTCTCTGCTATTCATAGAGTTTTCAGTGACTAGCGATTCGGAAGTGGTTTGTCACTCTTTCTTCCTAGTCTGTCTTTGTCTGGAAAAAACAAGGCACCAGGAATTGATGGAATAAAAATTGAAATCTTTCAAGAAAGTGAGGCAGCACAAGAGGCACTCACTCATCTCTGCCAAGGAATTTGGAAGACAACTCTCTGGCC